TTGATATATTTACTGTAGGAAATTTACCAAATATCTTTATGGAACATGATCTTTACTTAATATCCTAATGATTTTTGGCTTAAAAGAAAAATCGATAATTTTGACCCATACAATGTATTGTTGGCTATTGCTACAAATATGCCCGTGCTACTTATGACTGTTTTTGTGGTCCAGGGTCACATATTTTCATTTTGGTGACTTTTAATGGCTTGGTCTTGACATAACGGAGTTCTGGAGAAAACTTTAGGAGTTCAATATTCAAACTTCGAGTCTCTAAAAATGTACAATGTGCATCAAATTATCTATATTTCAAGTCAACTTAAACACTACAAAAATAATACAATTACTTAAAGTATAAAATTATAAGAATAAAATTGCCTAATAAAATTACCAGCCAAATTCTTATTAACTGGCTAAAGCCATTTTGCTTGCATTTAGCACTTGATGAGTGTTAATTTTGGACCTTGCGATCATTATTCAGGGGCCAACACTATTGTTGAGATCTACGCCCACGTGTGAGTGTGTGTTGAGCTCCTGTTGCCTGAACTAAAAGTAGTGTGTCTGTCTAGAGTCCTCAGTGGCCTGTGTCGACTGTCTTCACTCCCCCTCCCCCCCAGGCGTCAGTAAGATCGTGACGGTGGACGTGAAGGGGAACGCCCCCCTGTGGCTGAAAATCAAAGACCTGGCGGATGGCGTCACATACAACTTCCGCATTCGTGCCAAAACATTCACCTACGGTCCGGAGGTAGAGGCCAACATCACCACAGGACCTGGAGAAGGTCTGTCTGCATGCTTTCTCCGTGCCTCCTTACAATTTCAGCTAAGCAATTTCTGCAAGTTCATGTAACCACATTGCTTCTGTGTGTGATCAGGAGCCCCGGGCCCTCCCGGTGAGCCCTTCATCTCTCGATATGGCTCCGCCCTCACCATCCACTGGACCAATGGGGATCCCGGGCGAGCACCTATCACCCGCTATGTTATTGAGGCCAGGCCCTCAGGTGAGATTATTTGCACTTTATTATTTGGCCTAGTGGCCAACACACACTCTAAGCATGATGAACCTTAGTGCTCATATGGGAGTTGCAGGTTTGTGCGAGTACGAATTACTTTCCTTTTGTCTTCATGTAATTTCTTTCCTGTGTGTTTATGAAAAGTGTCCAAACGATCAAAATAGATTAGAAATTGTCACGTTCTGTGCACTTACAGTTTTCCAGAGTGAAGTGCGGCTCTGTGTTCATTTACACACGAGCAGCTCATGATCCAGTGTTTTCAGTGTCTCAGAACAGCTCAGTTCACAGTGAATGCTGCTCTATCTGAATTTAGCACTCCATCTACTTTTATAACATGCATTTGGAACACAACACAAACCAACCATCTTCAGAGAAGTTTGGTGCTTTAACAATTGAAAATGAAGAAATTAGGAGCCATGAACATTAGTAGTGTAATTTTGCAGTTGATAGTATAATATTATTGTTATTTATATAATTAAATTATTTATTTCCTAAGTACTCATTGTTTTATTTTACACTGAAATATTACAATAGTAATATTTCATATTTTGTTTAATATTTCTGTTTAGGAATTATCATTATTATTATTATTTTATAGTCATATTTGTGTGCAATCACAACATTTTTTGCTAAATTGTGCAGTCCAACAAACAAGCCAAGCAAACAGAATTTTTTTATGGTTTTTATTTTATTTTGTAATCACATTTTAAATCACAATTTTTTATCAGAAAGATGGCAGTTATATTTTATACTATATTATATACTCTTTAAGGAAACTCGGTTTGCAATGCGTCCAGTTTCCACTCCCCTTTACTCACTCTCAAATTCTCTATTTATCTACCCATAAAAAGTTACAAAAATAAAACTAAGGCTAAACTGAAAGCAGTATGGTTTTACAGTGAAAAATAACAATATCTTCTGATTTAAAAGAGCCAACTCAAGACTTGTATTCAAGGAAATAAGTAAACCAGTGTCTCTGACTTTAAGGCCCACGCTTAGCATGAGATCTGTTTGGCAGCATATTCATCAACTAAACTTCTAGATACAAATTCCCCCAAACAATGAAGAGTGATTCCATATGCGTCAGTCTGGAAAAAAGATGCTGACGGCAGCTTGTGTCCGATGGAGGAGATATATTGATGTGAGACAAAGTCGATCAGATTTCCTCAGTGACTGAAGAGAAGCTGTGCTCGAATGAGAAAAGAGTGAGTTTTGGAGGAGGAGCAGATGGGATTGATTTAAAGAAACTGTGTGTGTTAAAGACCCATACATTAGTGTGATGTGTGCCAGGTCATCTTTGCATGTCGTTGATGTGCCGTAGAGGTGGAATATTATTTTCACTCTGCCCTGAAGATCTCACTCTGTAAATTCTCTAGCAGGCCTGGCACATGACACCAGCTCTATTTTTCTGTCTCTCTGCAATGCTAGCTGAAGGCACTTGGGGTTCTCAGTAGCACATTAAACACATTAGACATAGCTGAAATGACATATGATCTATATTGTGATAACATTTTATTTGATGAGGTCTCGCCTCTGAATTATTAGCCCTGACAGCTGCTGCAGTGTTGAACACACACACAAAACACAACACAAAACACACACACAAAAACAGTGCCTTATTAAAGACAGTGCATCCCCAAATTAACATTTGGTAATGAATAACATTTTTCACTCCCATGTTGTTTCAAACTTGTATATGGATTTGAAATGACATGAAGGTGAGTAAATAATGGCATGATTTTCATAGTTGTGTTGTCTAATGTCATCAGACTCATAGAACTTATGACTGATATAAACTATGCGACTATGAATGACTAGGCATTTTTATTTCTTAATGTTCCAGATGAAGGCTTGTGGGACATCTTAATCAAGGACATTCCCAAGGAAGTGACATCATACACCTTCAACATGGATATCTTGAAACAGGGAGTCAGCTATGACTTCCGGGTCATCGGGGTGAATGATTATGGGTATGGGTCTCCAAGCCAACCGTCACCATCTATATCAGGTTAGTTCCTCAAAGTTAGAACAAGTGAAAATCAATCTGACCAATCATACCAATTATTCTAATGATATATGCATCTGTTTTTAATTCCAGCACAAAAAGTGGCTCCGTTCTATGAGGAATGGTGGTTTCTGGTGGTGGTGGCTCTGGTCGGCCTCATTTTCATCCTGCTTCTAGTTTTCATCCTCATCATCAGAGGCCAGAGCAAGAAATATGCCAAGAAATCTGACTCAAGTATGTATCCATCCATGTATCCAAGTTCTATCTATCTATCTATCTATCTATCTATCTATCTATCTATCTATCATTCTATCGTTCCATCTATCTATCTGTCATTCTATCGTTCCGTCTATCGTTCCATATATCATTCTATCGTTCTATCTATCGTTCCATATATCATTCTATCGTTCGATCTATCGTTCCATCTATCATTCTATTGTTCCATATATCTATCTATTTCGTTATTTCGTTCTATCTATCGTTCCATCTATCTATCTATTGTTCTATCGTTCCATATATCATTATATCGTTCCATCTATCTATCTATCGCTCTATCTTTCTATTGTTCTATCGTTCCATCTATCATTCTATCATTCCATCTATCTATATATCGTTCTATCTATCATTCTATCGTTCTATCATTCCATCTATCTATATATCGTTCTATCTATCATTCTATCGTTCTATCATTCCATCTATCTATCGTTCTATCGTTCCATCTATCATTCTATCGTTCTGTCTGTTTGTGTATGTGTATTTGTTTATGTCAAAGGGTCATTCAGGGAGAGGCGTGATGAATGAAACAGCATTGTTGTTGCTGTGACATCATCAGTGTGGTATGTGTGTGTAAGTGTGTGGTCAGCATTTCTGTAGTAAGAGCATGCAGGCCACAACAGAACTGAGGGGTGGGACAGTCATGTGGGTCACTGAGCATGTTAAACAAACTGAGGGAGCATGAGAGGCCCTGTTTGTGCTTCCACACAAAAACACACTCCATCACACAAATGTCAAACACACACACACATACACACCATTCACACAACACCACCTGCCAGCACTGTTTTATCTTAATGAGGCTTCAAAAATAGCAAAGGTTTAGAGATTTGGTTTATGGCCTTGTGGTTTTGGTGGCATTACATCCTGTTATCGTGATTGACATCTTCAGCAGATCAAAATTTGTCACATCTCAGTTTTGGTCCAAACTATGTCTTAATGATCTCTTAATGTCTCCATATCTCATCCATACAGGCAACAATTCCAACTGTAATGCATTGACACATGGAGAGATGGTCAGCCTGGACGAGAGCCGCTTCCCTGCCTTGGAACTGAACAATCGACGACTGTCTGTCAAAAATTCCTTCTGCCGCAAAAATGGCATCTACACTAGGTCAGTGGAAGTTTCTCCCTTTGTCTCAGTCTTTCAACGTTTTTAATATAAGCATGCAGGTTTTTAGGGTTTTTAATATTAATATGTTTTCAAGCTGAAATATGTCAGCTACTGAGTTTCGTATTACAAATGGAATGGTCATAACTAAAAATTACTCTAAGTACAGAAATAGCTGCAATTTAATACACTAATGTTCACCTGTCACTTTGCCCAGTAGGTTTGGTAATTTTATATGAAGTAACAAATCAATTATCATATGTGCTTATTTTGTACTTTGCACATAGAACTATTAAACTCCCATAAAGCTTCAACCACGTGGCAATAATGAGGCAAAAATAGCCCAAAATCTAGGAGTTTCTCATTCATCATGGAAAGACTGATGGGATTACCAAATGGCTCTACCTTCATAAGATCCTACTTTCCATCATAAAACTCAATATAAAAAGTTTCTGTTTCCACTAATGAGAGCATTTCTCTCTGACAAGTCACAGGCTAAGTGCAATAACAGATTCTGGTTCATGACCTCACCTATACTGCCACCGTTCTTTCTGAAACAAGACTGTTTTAAAATATATGCACAACACATTTATTATTGCAACTAATACTTGTTAATGCTTAATGTCAGTTTATTTTATGAAAATATGGATTTGATGGCGTAGGTACTGCATTAGAAATTAAGAATTTCTTATAAGTGTCTGCATTGTTTGTACAGCATTTTATTTTTTTCTTATTTTGTATTAAATTTTTTTCTCGTTATTTTATTTATTTAAAATTATTTTATTGGTTATTTTTAAGTTGCACATAGAAGTTATATATTGCAATGTGTTATATTTTGAGAATTGTCAAGCAATGCCATATAGGTGCTCACACATGTAGCAATATTTCCAGGTGCGCCAGGTGTGTAGATCCAGTTCCATTTGAGAAATCTGCCCTATTATCACTGCTTAGTTCTCAGCCTCTGCCTTCCTTCATCATGGGTCACCTTGAGAAGGATCAAAGGTCCTCTGGTCTTTGAGGGGATGCCAGGCTCTTTCCTCTGGCTGCAGATTAAGGGAGAGGTGTGGGAGGAATGTGCAGATGAAGTTCCACAGACTTTGTTCTCTCCCGGGTGGAGGGTTTACAGAGCCCGAGTTAGACTGTGGGCTCACTGGCTGAGAGGATCAGGACAGTGAATGAAGAACCTCAGGAAAATCTTAGAGAAGTGACAGGAGCATCAAATTGGATGCTGGAAAGAATCAGACGGTTGATGTATGCCCACTGCAGAGAGCTGGTTCAAGTATGCTGTCTTGCTGTTGTAACCTCAATAGTTATGACATTCCGTAGCTCAAGTAACACAATACAGAGAGCTTCTCTTCTCAAGATACTGGCAGGATTCAAAGACTGCCTGCTGAGAAGGAGGTCTGTGATTTGAGATCTTAAAGCAGGTCTTTCTTTTAAGATTCTTCTGACTGTCTGTCATGGCAAGTCAGTGGTTTCTCAAACAAAATTGGAGCAAAAGTTTTGGTAGCGTACAGCATTTGTTTTCCATTTGTTTTTGGAAGAAAAAAAAGTTTTGTCATTTTCATGCCCTTATTTTGTTCCAGGCAATGACTTTCTTCTGTAGATCACAAAAGGAGATGTTTAGCATAATGATCTTTTTTTTTTCATTTAAATAAAAGTGAATAGAAAAGTGCAATGTTGAACTGCAAAATACACAGAAAAGCAAAAAGCACATTTTGAAAGTATTATAAAAATAGTTCTGACGCCATATGATAGCTTTTTTCAAAGAACAGAACAGTAAATTTATGTTGTTTAAATTTGAAAATGAGGAATGTTCTGCTAAACGTGTGTGTGTGTGTGTGTGTGTGTGTGTGTGTGTGTGTGAATAAAAAATGGCAATACATAGTTAGAAATAGAAACATTAATAGAAATAATAAACATTAGAATGAAGGTGCCAGGGCAGCGAAAGATATGAGAGACCACAGTCTTATCTCAGTGATATGAAGAGTGTTGTTTTTAAAGGCAGGGGAAGTATGTGGTGTGCTTTAACTCTGCGTTTGAGACTTTACTGTTCTGGACTATGGAGAGCTGACCAGGCCTGTTTACAGCACACACACACATCAGCACAATCTGCAGTGTTTCAGCAGTCACAAGCACACTCACATGCTTGTATCTTTTTTTTTTTTTTTTTTATTA